ACACACACACACACACACCACAGTGAATGTGTGGTGCTGCTTTGTAAGGCAACAAAGGTACCATCACATCGTTTACTGCATTGACTTGTGATTAGAATAAGAGACACAGGGTCACACTCAACATGGCTGCACAAACCTGCTGTAACGACCTCTGTCCCTACTGCCATCTTGCTCATTCTACAGGTCCCCTGCAACCTACCTGGGGCCCCCAGGCCCATGCTGGTGATGAGGTGCCCTTTGACCTCCATGTCACGTGACTCCTGAGAGGCCCTGCCACTCTCGCCGCCAGCCAATCGGACGCTCACCTGCAGAGGGAGGGAGGGGCAAGCTTAAGAGAGGAGGGATGTCTGTGCCGTTCCGGCGCTTGAACACACTGCAGCCTCCAGGGGGAGCTCTCTCACACAGGAGAGACGCCTGCCCCATTAACAAACATGAAGCAGACAGCCTGGCAAATGACTACTCATTGATGATAAGCACAAGTACTCCTCACTTAACACCTGCCTGCGCAACGTCTTTCCGCATGAATCGACTCCTTGCTTAAGGAGCACTTTTCCACAACGCTGCCGAGGTGGGCGACTCAGAGTTCGTCGAGGCCACAAGGGCTGAACGTCTGTCTCGGGGCTTTGCTGACTGCCGAGCCAGACAGTCGTGATCGGGAGCAGTTTGACTGCATCTTTAATTGCAGGCTGCACAGCACTATCCCTGAGTGCGAGGAGCACGCGCACACACACACACACACACACACACACACACACACACACACACACTCTGCTGACGAAAAGCCCCAACGCTGGAGGAGAACCTTGTAATCCCAGAGTACAGAGTAAGGTGCAGGAATCTGCGCTATCACCCCTGCTGTGAATCGGACCGAGTCAACAAGTACCCTTCAAGGTCAGCCATGCGTCATCGTCGTCGTCACACCGTGTTACAGGATGTGTGCTGTTCGATCAGGCCATCTCTGTTACCCGGAGACCTGCCGACGTGAACACGTCTAAAGGCTGTCAACCACAAGCAGATAAATACCCCGAACACTCACGCTGGGAACACACAAACACACGCGGGCATGCTGGCACTTGTGCACACGCAAGCACACACTGCACGTGACAGTAACAGCACCAGAGTGAAACCCAGGTGTGAACTGACAGCCAAGGACGAAACCCTGGCCTCTTCTGTTATTTTTCATGGTAACACTGTTCCAGCAATAAACATTTTCATATGAAAGCGTGTTTCCGGGAATGGGGCTCTGGTGTTGTGGGAAGGATTCCTGGGATTTAATTACTGGTTTAATTCCTGTGGAAGCCCCTTTCTCTCCCTGCAGTGCAGAGATGCCCGGATGCAAAGCTGCCCCCCTCTCCCGAGGGAAGAGTCTCTTTACCACGGGATACAGAGGCGCAGGATAACTGGTGTAGAGGAGTTCAAAACGTCAGGTCATTACACGCCATGAAGCAAGACTTAAGGAAAAGTTCTGAGGTGAAGAAACTAAGGAAGTTTTGTGCTGGACTAGGAACACATTCCTTGCTGCTCTCATCGGGTTTTTCCCCACTTTCTTCCCACAAAGTGCCGAGTGAACAACACAGGCTCAAGAGACATCAGTCGCTCCTGGTCGATGGCACCCCCGCTGCCTCCCGTGTAACTCTGAAGCCGCTCCCCGCCCCCGCTTACCTTGCAGTAGAGGTCATGAGTACCGCAGTGGTTTGGGCTTGTGGCCATTCAGTACTGCGCGCGCCTGCAGGCCGCTGCAACGCCACCGACTCCCAGCGGGTGGCGCCACTGTGCTGGGGCTCCCCAGTCTCCTGCAGCAAGGTCCTGCGGGACGACAGCAAGCAGAGATCTCAGAGCCAGAACCTCAACCCAGGGTCGCCAACGCTCGTGTCCAGACCCCTCCGCCACCCGACACCGACAGGAGCAGCTGCCTGCGCCCCTTCCCAGAATTCCCCAACACTGATCCGCATAGTAATTCGCTCTCCTCTGGTTTCACCCGGTTTCCCGGAGGTCACTTGGTCTTTGTAATTAGACGAAGTTGACAAACGAGAGGCCACCCGTCAACACATCAAGCCTGTTTGGTAGTTGAATTAGTCCAACGAGCTCATCCAGTCATTTCTCGAAAGAAGCCAGGCTTAACATGGCTGGTTCGCTTGCTCCACACTCCTACAACCCTTTGCATAAAGACGTGCCTCCCCTTCTTGGTCCCGAGGGTTGCATACAGCTGAGACTGGAAAGATGCCAGGGTTTTGGCTTCAACAACATGGCTGGGCAGTGTGTTCCAAACTCCCACAACCCTCTAGTTCCGACATGCTTTTGATCTGCTTAAGCTCCACAGACTTTTATAATAATACTACATTTAGGGCTTCTGGTTTTCGATGCTTATTTTCAAGCTGCACTCCTCCCTTCGAACTGCAATTACAGCTTTTTCAGCCATTTCTGTTCCTAATTAGGAGAAAAACCTGCAGCCGTGGCCTGTGCCTTAGATCATTTTCAAAAGTCGTTAAAAACCTCAACTCAGTGATTCAGACATCACGTTTCAGCGAGCATACAAGCACAAGGATGTTTAATGGCGCAATAATATCCGTCTGGAGATCTGTGTACAACATGTGGCAGAAATAACCGCGGTACAAAGACACACTGGAGGCTCAGCGAGGTTACTGGGAGGCGGGAGAGTGACGCAATGTTATCCACGAGGTTCACTTCGGTTTCGGGAGAGGGCGAGATTCCGGCAGGAGGGATCGGTGCCACCTGTCAGCAGGGATTCCCGTCACCAACACAGGGGAAGTTCAAGCACGATCAAATTCAGGTGAACGAACGGATGACTGCATTTGTGTTTTTAACAACCGCGGTCAGCTCACGGCAGCTTTAAAGAGACCATGAAGCAATCACATTTAAATTAAAAATGCAGAAAAACAAAAGTCGGATGATTGACAGTGTCCTGCTGTTACAAGGGCTGTCCAATACTAAACTGAGAGATGTGGAGAGGAAGAGAACCGGAGTGTTGAGTCCAGTGAAGTAACGCAGAGAGATGGCTCTCTGCCGTACCGGGCAGTATTCAGTACTGTGCCTGACAGAGCGTCCAGTGAGTGGCATTCAGTGGGCTGCTGAGCACTGTTCAGTGTGGTGCTGGGTAAAATGCCCAGTACATGATGTTAAGTGCGCTGCCAGGCGGTGTTCAGTTCCGCGCCAGGCAGAGTGCCCAGTACGCAGTGTTCAGTGTGCCGCTAGGCACAGTGCCCAGTACATGGTGTTCAGTGCGGTGCCGGGCAGAGAGCCCAGTACATGGTGTTCAGTGCGGTGCCGGGCAGTGTTCAGTGCCATGCCAGGCAGAGTGCCCAGTACAGTGTTCAGTGCAGTTCTGTCTCCAGACACTGTACAGGACTGCTGGTGGACCCAGAGCTAGGAATGAGGAGAAGCTTCTCCTGCAGGGCGGCGCAGGAAGAGAGGAGGCACCAGGACAGCCCCTTCATGGCCACCCTGAGCTCTTATTTACACAGGTGGAAAAGTGGCACAGAGATATACTGCACAGATCCCCCTCCCTGGCCTCCCCTTGCAAACTGCTCCCCCTGAAAACTCTACAGCCACCAGCTAGGAGGCCGGGAGATCCGACTGTGCTCAACGCTTCGGTGCAAAGAGTAAGCGCAGCACAAGACAGACACAGCGAATCCCATCAATAATGGAGAGATGACAGGTGGAGAGCGGGACGCCCCCCGAGGGGCCTGTCGGGTTCACACGGCGCACACACACCGGCGCGTGCGAGCGCGTGTGTGCGCGCAGCCCCAGGGAAGCGCGGGGCGCAGGCAGGTAGGGACCAGCCCCTCACAGCGCCAGGCTCCGGAGAGCCGCGAGACATCAGGCGCAGATGGCAGAGTGCCCAGAAGGAGGAGGCCGCCGCCCAGTCGCACAGCTCCTCAACCCGTCAGTGACAAGATCGTGCGCGAGAGCAGCAAGACCAACACAGACGCACAGGCCTGTGGTGCTGCGGGCTGCTTGCCTGTGTCGGGCTCGTTTTGTGCTCGGTGCTGAGCAGCTGCTTGCCGTCTCTAACGGCAAAGCTTCTTTCGGTCTTTAAACATCAACGACAAAACCATGGGACGAGTCCGTTCTCCGAGAAACGTACCATTTTTAAGAACCTGATAAAGTAGTGGGAACTGTGGGCTCCACCCTAAAACCACGACTCCCATCCAGAAACGGGGGGGACCCGCGTGCTCCCCAGGGGCGCAGACTCACCGTGTCCCAAGGAATCAACTGCGCTGTACCGCGGCCATGCGATCGCGCGCCGGTGAAGCTCCGCCTGCTCGGCAAACCCCTGCCGTTTCAACGCACAAAAAGAAAACCCATCGGGACCCTGAAAAAATTCACACTAAGGCTGCATTAATCGAACACCAGCTCTCTGCTCCCCGCAGGACGAGGCAGCGAGCTGGGAGAAGGCAAGTCATCAGTGAACTTCCTCCCTCTCTTGCAGGAGTACCTGCCCCTGGAGAGGGGCAGACGACGTGCACACATGCTCTGGAGGGTCAGCTGTTCCTACCAGCTGCCAGCTGCTCACCACGGACAGCAGGGTGGGCAGGGCAGGCAGAGGAGTTGCCAGCAGCACGTGTATACTCTGCAGTCCGCGAGATTTGAACCCGCAACCCCTGGACGGCAGAGCCCAGGCCTGCAGGATGAAGGGGGGGGCCAGTCCAGCTCCGCTTCCAAGACGGCAGCAGCCCGAGGCAAGCCAGGACAGCCAGTCCCGAAACGCCACGACAAGAACAGAAACAAGCTCCGACACCTACTCCCTCTCTTCAAAAGCCATAATTCACATAGTTAACCCACGCCTGCCTCTCAGTTGAACGCAGCCTGCTTTCCCAGGTCACTGCCCTGCGATCTGCTATTAAAGATCGCTTCTCTCCAATCGTCGAGCTCTCGTCTGGAGCGCGTCGGAGGAGAGCCCCCGGAAGTCGGTTTCCTCTTGAAGAGCCGGGTCGCTAATCACCTGGGGGAGCCAGGGGGAGGAGGAGGCCCGCAGACAGGGTCCCCGCCTGACTTTATAGCAGGATCGAGGATTGTTCTAATGAGGCAGGGCTGCACACAATCCCCCCCCCCCATCCTCCCTCCCTGAGCCCCAGAATCACTTCCCTCACAGCAGCTTCCCCGGTTCCACACGAGCGACAGGGCCGCCCGATTTCGATTCTAACTGAGCCGCCAGCCTGCCGTCTTGAGCCCAGATGGCCACGGTCCTGAAGGCGTGGCTGCCGACGCCGAGGAGCCCTGAAGGATTAGGGGTCTCCAGGACCAGGGCTGGCGACCAATACAAAGAGCTTGTACTGGGGGCCCTCCGGCCCGTTCGGCAGCTAGCGGCTAATTGATCCCAGGATCTCCTCCAGCCGTTTCCTGAACGGGACCAGGGTAACACCTTCCACACACCCCTCCGTGCGCGGAGGAGCCTCTTGTCCCCCGTTTTAAACGCACCTCCCCGCCCTCTGGATCGCGGTTCTCCGCTCACACGCCTCTTCGCCAGCCGCGCGCGTGAGCTGGCAGGGAGGAGCGGCTGGCTGGCTGGCATCTGGAGGCGCAAGTCGGGGGGGGGGGAGGGGGGGTCAGAGCCGCTCACCAGAGGGAATGAAAACGACCTGGGACAACTCCAACCCCGGCAAACCCTCATCGAGAACGAGGAGGCAGCAGGCGGGGCAGACGGGCCGGTTCCCCCCTAGCCAGAAAGGATGGCCCCCGCCTGCGATTTGACACCCGGCCAGGTCGGCAGCAGCCAGGGAGCGTCTCGACGCCTCATTAAGGCTCAGTTCCCCGCGCCGGGGCGTGCAGGACGGCTCGCGGTCGGGGAGGACAGTGCTGCGACGCCTCCCCTGCTCATCAGGCCAGGCTATCGGACGCGCTCGGGCCACGGAGGGCTTGTGGGGGAGTGAAACCCGAGGCCCCGCGGTGCCCCGGCTCTTGGGCAGCCCCAACACCAAGCTGTTCGCCCACGGATTGAATCCAAACGCGCACGATCTGCAGGACTCCACTGGTTCACACGGATCCCTGCCGGGAGGCGGCCCGGCTCCGGGGAAAAAGACCCGTTTCGGAAAACGCAGCCCTGTCGTTTCTTCCCCGAGCGCCGGTCGGTCTCGGGCCTTCCTGAACACCGAGCGCACTGCAGCACGGAGACCTGGACCCCTCTGGCCAAGCTCCGGCAGCTCCACAGGTACCCGGAGCCCTCAAAGGCGCCGGCGCTCTTCGCTGAAGAGCGAAACACGCACCAGAGGACAGAAAGTGGGACCATCTGGAGGTGCGTTTAAACATCCTGAGAACAGGAGGCCCTTCTCCGCAAGTGGAACAAGCTGTCCAGTCACGTTACAGAAAACCAGAAAATGGCTGGATGAGATTCTGTGACGAATTAGTCCATCTCTAGAGCCCACAATGCTGTCCTACACTCTGTTCAGTCACGGCCCCCGATAGCCAGGGTATTATTACGGAGGTGCCTGAGTACACACCTGTGGGCCAGGTGTGCAAATATCCACTGTAGCCAGCGTGCAGACAGCAGAGGCACCTTCACTGCAGTGCAAAGCACAGTTTGTACACAGTCATTATAGACTTAATGTATACTGTGCTCCACAGCACTCTGTCTCCAGCTGGGATAACACAGCTTTGTGTCAATTACTGCCCCAGACCAGGCCAGGATTCTGTTAGGATGCTGAAGAGCAAATCAAACATGAGAGTGAACTGTTTTACAACAACCCAAAGGAGAGGCGTCTCTAGCAATGCTCCGAGGAAACTTATTTCTATTTGCGCCCATAAAAAGAAAGTGAGACCAGGCAAATTGAGAGGGAGTTACATTTGAC